CTGACACACCTCCTCCACAGCTTAAGGGACTGCAGTTTGCAGACTTCCCCCCTGCCAAGATCAATCCCCAAGTAACAGGCACACACCATTCTTCCTGCCTGTTTCAGGCAAGTGTGTGGGGGGGTGCAGTTGGTACTCAGCTGAATCTTCCTTCGCACTCACAAATAACTGCAGTCACAAGTGCTGGTGCAGAGAAAAGTGTGTGCAAAGTTGCAGCCACAAAATTAGAGGTGATCCCCACCTCACCCCTCACCTGAGGCTCAATGTCCAGGATGGCAATTTTATCCTGTTGGTGGATCTTATGCACAGTTTCAAATTTGGTGCCAAACATGTTTCCCTGGTAACTGCCAAACTCCAGAAACTCATTGGCCGAAATGTCCTTGGTCATCTCCTCCGTGGAGACAAAGTGATAGTTCTTCCCTTCCACCTCATTCTTCTTCTGGGGGCGTGTGGTGTCTGGAAGAGAGGAGAGTTGGTGAGTGACCTGTGCCCCTGGGGAGGGTGGAGGACCCCTCTCTCAGAACCAAAAGGTCCAACCACCCTTGGAACCAATGCAACCAGACAGCACAAAGGACATAAAGAGAGGCCTTGGAGACAGCTGGTCAGTACTGCACCATAGGTAGCAACCACAAATTGTTCCCAAGCAGCAGGGCTCAGGGCACATAGGGACACAGATGGGGATAAAAGGAGCAAAAGGAAGGGGCAAAGAAGGGGAATCCCTCACCACCTAAATGGACTTTAACCCTTTGCCACCCGAGACAATGGTGGTGAGTGCAGGCTGATCACTAGCATTAACTGCCTGCCCATAAAAGCTCGCACCCTGTGTCTCAGCCTCCTAGTTTCTCCTGCCCATCAGTGTCTAGAACCCCATCTCAGTCAGTAATGCATAAGGGATGTTCTTCCAGGCATGATGCTCCTCGTCTGTCTAGAATCCAGGCCAGCAGCACCACTGCAAGCAAGGGATTGGAGCACAGGGTGCCCAAGGTGCCCCTTTGGGTGGTTAAAGGAACATTGTTGATTTTAAACACATGCTCTGGGGCCAGTGGCAGGACCCACAGCTACCGGTGACTTAAGCTTTGATACCAGCAAGGCTCCACGTGAGCCATGTCCTTGTGGCAGCATCAGAGCCAAAGGAGAATCCTGCCTTGCAGGCTCCAAGGCAAGGCTCCCAGTGCCTTGTGATCTCCTTCCCTGCTGCTGGCACAAGGCTCCCAAATGCCACTACCTCTATACAAAACATATCTTGGCAGCCTACATGTGTGGAGCCACAGCCTCCCTAGCAGGTTGTGCTCCCAGCCATGTCTTCTCTGATCTACAGTGCACAGGAGTTAAAGAAGAAACAAAGGGGCCATCAAGGCCCAAACAGCTGACACCACCCCTTGAGCCCTTCACACAAATAGACAAGCTGCCTCTCAGGTGAGAACCACAAGCAGTTGGAGGTGCTGCAGCCTTTTTTTCAACCAGGCATGCCCCTTCCCCCAAAGCCACAAGATCTGAGGTTCTCACTAGGATAAGTCAGTTTGTGTCATCCAACAGGCATTAGTGTCTACCTGGGGTCCACACAATTCTGCTCTCTACCCACGCATGGGGCCTCTGGTCCTTCTTTTTAATGACCATAGGGGCAACCTCCAGGCCTACTCTATCAAGGTGAGAGTACAACAGACTTGAACTTGACTGGATGGGGAATCCCCTGTAACCTCCAGGGTCACAAGTGCAGGTGTGGGAAATCCAGGCCACAGCCAGTAGCAAGGGGGCAGGTACTAGAAACAAACACTGAACCCCAATTTCAGACAATGCGTGCTGACAAGGCCTCCACAGGCACCACAGCTGGAGAATGTCTCCTGCAGGGACGTTTACAACTGCTTTAGACGGACTATTTTTTGTATCCCTCCACCTGTAAAAGCAGGTAGCTCGATGCCTATGAATCCTAACTGAGCAAGGCTCAGACGGAGCCAGAGGAGTTACTTGAAGCAGATTTCCTGCACCAAGAAGGAACCTTCGCACAGTGTTTGATGGCTCAGGCCCTTGCCAAACTAAAAGTGAGCGTCAAGCTTGGAGCAAATAGAAAGTCCTTGGGAAGTTCCTTTTCCTCAGGATAAAAAATGACTACCTCTGGTCCTACGGGACATGGACACTGAAAACAAAGAGATGCTTGTGTGCCTGGGAAAGTCATCAATGGTCAGGGCTGCCTGCCCCTGTGTGGCCTGCCTATCAGGTGGGGTGGGGTTTCCAGGGATGTGCATTCCCGCACTCTGGGATACTCACAGGGAGCCGGATACATGAACTTCTCTGGGTTCTTGCTGAGCAGGGAGTTTTTGATATGGCTGCGGCCCACTCCACTTGCACCTGTGCAGAGCGGGGAAGAGGTGGGTGGGTCATTGTTTTCAACAGAGGTTTGGCCTGTGAGCACTGCCTGCTATGGAATAAGAGAGCAGGTGGGGGTGGGATATCCCATCCCCAGCAGACTGGCTGCATCTACACATTTATTAATGTGCTTTAGGTAATACACATTAAATATAGTACCTCCAGGCATTTCTACACATGCTCCGGGGATGGGGAGGGCAGCATTTTAATTAGAGTGGCTTTGAGAGCCATTCTAATTAAAGTGCCACAGTGCTTCATGTATCAGTGTTCAACAACCTTTAGTTCACTGCCATTTTGAAGCATGGGGACATTAATATACAAGACACAGGAGGCTGCTGGAGTGCGGTAACTACCATGCTCCAGCAGAATTGATTAATCAAGTCCATGCCGATGTGCCATAATTACAGTGCATCAGAGCAGCCTCTGCGCTTGTGTACAGGTACTCTCCATTGTGAGGTACTAGAAAAATGTGCATTAGCCTATCAATGCATATTAGCAAAAGAGCACTTTTTTGTGATGTTTTAATGTACATTAAAATAGGCTAATATGTATTAAAGTGCCATGTGTAGATGCACCCATTGGGACCCATTCCCCAGAAGCAGTGCAGTGAGATAGGAGCTCAGCCCCACTCTTAAATTTATGCAGAAAGCAGCTCTGTCCCTTCCTCCCCCAAAATAGCCCACATTGTTTTCACTATGCTGAACACAATACTGCCTTCCCAACCAGCCCCACAACTGGCCGCTATCCCTCCTACTGCAGCTGCAGTTGGCCACGTCACGTGTTCTGCCAACAAGGCCAGCGTGCACCCTGCTTGTACAGACCAGCACAGCTGTGCCTGAGCTTGCCAACTGGCTTCTGGAAAGGAAATCTGTGCGGGGGTGGGAGATTTCTAGCTCACTCTT